CCCTCGCCTCAGGGCTTGGAAGTCTATCACACCGCATTAACCTCGACTCACCGCCAGCCAAAATCATCGGTTGGCCGGATAAAAATCCACTGTATTTTGCACGCCACCAGCCCACATTTTCCAAACTGCCAAATTAATATCGACAAATCCTCGACCTCTCTCGGATATTCATGCAGAATTTATGAGTTAAATTCTGAAGCCACTAATCTCTCGGCTGTGGTAGAAGGCACATTAACGTATATTGACGAAACTAACTTTAAAATATTTCTTTCAAGGTTAAAATACATTACGTTGTATAACAAGTCAATTCTCATCAACTATTTACTAGACACATTGACGCGGAAATCATCAAGTGCAACTGACGAGTGACGAAAATAGGAGACTCTAATTATGGATTATTTTCAGAATAAACTTATGAATCTTTGAGAACCTATTAACTTCCAATGAAAAATATCGTAGGAACCATTGAGGAATCCTTTGGTGTTACATCAACAATAATTAGACCTTCCATACATTACAGTCTACACTCATGATACCTTCAAGACTTTCCCTATTACAACACTATCAACAAATGGAGACCAAAAAAAAAAAATACCCTACGACCACACAAGAATCCTAGTGGTGGAGGGGGCGCACCATGCAGGTCACGTGAGACTCAGCAACGAGGAATGGTGAAGGGAATAACAATAGAGTTTTGCTGGACTGTATACTGTCGGCTACAACACCAAGTACTGTATACTTCCTACACCTAACATTATACACTGTTCCTATATCACTGAAGAAATGAACAGAGAACGGCGCAAAATCTTAAAATCTTCTTCCCTGATTATCTTGGAAACTAAGCACCACACGTTTTAGTTGTTTATCCACAGTTTAACAAGACATAAAGAAAAAAAAAACCGCTAATTTATAATACGCTTCCTTCTCTGGGTATAAAAGAAATGTTAAAAAAATATACCATGATTCAGAAAACTATCATGCCAAAGTACCTGTCACTATCTATATACCATCTCGTTAAAATGTATCATAGAAGGAATTTTAACATGTTAGGTATATCAGGCCTGGAGGCAATTCAGTAATGTGATTTTTTTTCTTCACATGATTTAAATACAAAAATTATATGCATGGAAAAGTGGCGACCGTAACCAAGTGATGTTAATCGTAAATCAACTAAGATTTTCCACGTGTTGGCTTTAGTGTCGTCGCTCTGGCTTCGAACTCTCAATGCTTCGTACAAACAAATTCTCCGATTGACAGAAAATTTGAGAACACATCTAAGTAATCTACACCACATAGATTTCGGTCAAAGGATGAGTATATTTTGGTTACAACTTTGAGCGATTTGTCAACAATATACAGACCAGCCTTTTGCTCCTGTTGCCGTATAAGTATATTAGTGGACAAACACAGATAAGAAGGCCAATGTACCAAATGTACTAAATGTATTCTTTGATTTCCATTAAGGTTAGGTTAGATTAGGTTAGATGAGGTTGGGTTAGGTCAGGTCAGGTCAGGTCAGGTTAGGTTAGGTTATGAAAAAAAAGCAAAAACATGACGAACGTGTGAGGATTATGGCGATGTAGGCGGTGCATTTTAGTCGAGGGCAAAATCTGCATCACGACTGACATCCCGACTCAGAGTGCCTTTTTGACGATGCCAACTCCCATGCGTAGTGAAATTTGTCATCAATTAATATTTAACACACGTGTATGGGATGCAGTTAAGTGCACTGCAATATAACTAAGTGACTGAATTAAATATTAAATTAGATTTACATTCGTTTGACGTAAAAAACATATATATACCCTGATGCTGCTGCTGTGAACTAGTCTGTATTTTGTTTCATAGTATTGACAGATGAATGTGCGTGTGTGTGTGTGTGTGTGTGTGTGTGTGTGTGTGTGTGTGTGTGTCCTCCGTTTATTATGGGGGGACGGCTTGTGGTGATAAGGAAAGGGAAAGAGGGAGAGGAGGAGGAAATGAAGAAGAAGAGATTGAAAGAAAACGGATATAAATTACAGTGTGGAGTATACAGAGTACACACGTGACTCAAAAATGATCAACTACTCTTCTCTATCACACACACACACACACACACACACACACACACACAGGGTTCTTTCCTCATAAGTGATCACGTACAGAACACAACTACAGGACAGAGGAAAGATAGAAGAAAAACAAGAAGACAGATGAAATATACAAGAAAGACAGAAGAAAAACAATAGAAGAAGAAAGATAGAAAAAGAAAATTAGAAGAAGAAAAAGTAGAAGAAGACAGAGGAAAGATAGAAGAAGACAGAGGAAAGATAGAAGAAGTAAGACAGAAGATAAAACTCAATGAGGACAAATGTAAATTACTTAGTCTAGGAGATGTAAACAGGGAAACCAGATACCGGATGAACAACGATGTTATTGAGAAATCCGACTATGAGAAAGATTTAGGAGTAATGATAAGTAGGGATCTTAAACCAAGTAAACAATGTGTATTTGCTCGAAACAAAGCTAATAAAGTACTTAGGTTCATACAAAGGAATGTTAGTTACAAGACTAGCGAGGTCATCCTAAAATTATATCTTGCGCTTGTGAGACCTCACTTGGATTACGCAGTTCAATTCTGGTCACCGTACTACAAAATGGATATAGAATCCCTAGAAAGAGTTCAGAGGAGAATGACAAGACTAATCCCGGGCATTTGGAACCTTGAGTACAGAGACAGGTTAAAGCATCTTAATTTGCACTCCCTCGAGAGACGTAGAGTGATAGAGGTGTATAAATGGAAGTCAGGGCTAAACAAAAGGGACATTACAAAGGTACTCAAACTATCCAGCCAGGAGCGAACTCGTAACAATGGTTTTAAATTAGACAAATTTAGATTCAGGCGCAAAATAGGTAAACATTGATTTGAAAATAGAGTAGTGGACGAGTGGAACAAGTTACCAAACATCATCATTAACTCGAATACGTTGGATAACTTCAAACATAGGTTGGGTGGATATATGAGCAATAGGGGTTGGGTGTAAATGGGACTGCCCAGTATGGGTTAATAGGCCAGCTGCAGTTTCCTCCATTCTTATGTAGTGGGGTTTCCTGAATCAAAGTGGGAATGTTCCTTGAATAGTTCTTCCTCCTCGTTATATTTTCCCTGGTGTCCAATACTTATGGCCATTTTTTCATTGTTCGCAGTTCCCTCCTGTGACGTCAAGTTTTAGATTTAATTAGGACACTTTCCTCCTATGACGTCAAGTTTTAGGTTTAATTAGGACACTTTCCTCCTGTGACGTCAAGTTTTAGGTTTAATTAGGACACTTTCCTCCTATGACGTCAAGTTTTAGGTTTAATTAGGACACTTTCCTCCTATGACGTCAAGTTTTAGGTTTAATTAGAACAGTTTCTTCCCTAAACAGATCTTATACTTATAAAAAGTTGCAAAAAACTAAACTTTCTAATTTATCAACCATTTTATAAACATTACTTTCAATAACACGACAAAAATAATCTGGTGTTATCCCTACAGGACTCAACAGGAAAGAGCTCATACGGTACTCTTACCTATGGAGTTATTAAGAGATAAAAAGAGTTTAAGAGTTATAGAGGAATCCTTCAGAGGAGAGTTGGAACAAGAGAGTCAAAAGACAATCTGTGTCGGCTATAAACTTATGCCTTCAAGTCTCAATATATATGGAAATCACCCCGCTCTATATTTCACCTCCTGAGTATCACAAGAATTCTCTCTCTCTCTCTCTCTCTCTCTCTCTCTCTCTCTCTCTCTCTCTCTCTCTCCAGTTCACCTCGGTCTAACTCTCTCAGTTCGCCTTAGTCTCACCACTCAGTTCGCCTCTCTCTCTCTCTCTCTCTCTCTTAGTTCACCTTAGTCTCACCCTCAGTTCGCCTCTCTCTCTCTCTCTCTCTCTTGGTTCGCCTTAGTCTCACCCACTCAGTTCGCCTCTCTCTCTCTCTCTCTCTCTCTCTCTCTCTCTCTCTCTCTCTCATTTACTGTCTCTATTTGTCACTATTTTATTCCTCGTCTTTTCCTCGTTTTCCCCTGTGTTTCTCTTCTCTCTCTCTCTCTCTCTCTCTCTCTCTCTCTCTCTCTCTCTCTCTCTCTCTCTCTCGTGTCAGGTTAGTCAGTCTTAGCCAGTGTCTCTGTTTCTATCCCTGTATCTCTTGTCTTTTAATTAGTTTCTGTTTTCCTACATTCCTTCTGTCTGTGTCGCATCTCTTGATTGGCTGCATTTACGTCGCGTTTCTTGATTAGTTTCATCTGTGTCGCGTCTCTTGATTGGCTGCATTTACGTCGCGTTTCTTGATTGGCTGCATCTGTGTCGCGTCTCTTGATTGGCTGCATCTGTGTCGCGTCTTTTGATTGGCTGCGTCTGCGTGGCGTCTCCTGATTGGCTGCACCTGTATCCAATCACTGTATTCACCTCATTACTGTCTATTAGTTCTGTATTTCTTTCTTTACATCTTGGGTTCATCTGTCAGTTTCTGTTCTATAATTCTGTTATTCTCTGTCCTGTCTCCGTGAACCTGTTTTTATTTCAGGTTTAACAGAAACACAGACATACAGACGGACAATCAGGCTGACAATCACACAGGGTCAGATAGACAGACATGACAGACGAAGAAACAGACATACAGGTTAAAATAAAAAGAAGACAGACAGACAAATAGACAGATACCTTGTTAACACTCACAGTATGTCAATATAGTCACTGTACTTCACCTTACCAATAATTTAAGGCTATGGGACCACTACCAGTTAAATTCGCTATACAATTAAACTGATTACAAATTTCAATCAACAAATAGTCGCTCGTTAAAGGTGATCAGTACACTTTACTTACGAGAGAGAGAGAGAGAGAGAGAGAGAGAGAGAGAGAGAGAGAGAGAGAGAGAAAATATATAGTCGTGTAAGGTGATGAATACACTTTACAAGAGAGAGAGAGAGAGAGAGAGAGAGAGAGAGAGAGAGAGAGGAAACCAAAATCAACACTCACCTCTGACGTGCATGTTGGCTGTGACGGTGGAAGAGGCGGCAGAGTTAGAAGCAGTACAGGTATACTCTCCAGCGTGTCTACCTCGTATATCTTCAAACACCAAGTTGGAAAAGAACTGTGAGTGGGTCTCGGTTAGTACGGGGTCACGAGGCAGAGGGCGGCCATCTCTTGACCACCTCAGGCTGATGGGAAGGTCACCGCTCAACAGGGAACAAGCTAACGACAGTCGCATTCCTTCTACCAGGCCAGTCGGGAATTTCAGCTCTGCTAATACTGGAGGTTCTGTTAGGGAGAAAGAAAGTGAGTGAGTGAGTGAGTGAGTGAGTGAGTGAGTGAGTGAGTGAGTGGAGGGAGGGAGTAGGTGAATTAGAATGAGTGTGTGTGTGGGGGGGGGATATAAGGTTAGGTTAGGTTTCTGCTAGTTGTGAGAGAGAGTGTGTGTGTATGTGTCTAAAGTTAGGTTATGTTAGCTGGATATAATTACTGGTAGAAAAAAGCACAGGCAGAGTACATGAACGAATAAAACAGAGAAAGAGTTACCTCAGTAATAATACAACACAATAAAGAAAAACAACAACTCTTACGTATTAATATAACAATGTAATGTACAATCAATTACACGTGAAAAAAATTATGAAAATATCCTCGTTAACTACACAAGGCTAAGAAGTAATTATAACTCGCAGTGAGGAATAAAAGATCAGATTTGAGACTCCAGACCCAAAGGAGAAATTCTGGGAGCAGGAACAGTACAATAATTTACTTTGTGATGGCACGTCAACAACAGATAAGTCATGACAGATGATTTGGCTGTGCTGGGAAAAGAAGCTCAGGCCGCACTACAAACTCCCGCTCGTCATCTGAATAATTGATAAAAAGAATCCTCGACGACTTCACAACTACTGGAGTAAAGTTCACTACAAAATTTACACAAGGTAAAGGAGAAGTTGTCGGTGAAGTGGCAGCGAAGAAGGTTGGTGGAAGAATGTAAACAAACACTGGTCATGACCCGAGTGTGTTGGCTGATGTGAAGGAGGAGTTTAAGTTCTTCCATTTTTTCCTTCCTCCTGTATACAACTTGTGCGATGGAGGAGTCAAGATCATCCTATTTTCCTTCCTCCTGTACCCAGTTTATTGTGAAGGAGGACTCAAGTTCCCCCTCTTTCCTCCGACACACAGCTAAAACGGCGAGGAATTTCCACCAACGAGCAATCAGAAGAATGACACACTATGAAGTTCTATTGAAGGGAAATTTGCACAGAGTAGAAGCTGCAGTATAGTGTATTGGGGAACGGGGATGATGTTGATGATGATGATGATGATGATGATGATGATGATGATGAAGATGAAGATGATGATGGCGTGGGATTTTATTGATGCATTGAACATATAAAGACTGACTGGGTTATTTGATGGTGTAATTACATGAAAAATGATCTTGTTTTTTACGATAAAATAAGGGTCTTAGTGATATTCAAAGTTATTATTACCCTCTAACTCTGCTATGGAGTCACCAGACAAAGCCTCTCATGACAAAAAGAAAACCTAAGACTCTTTTAGTACAGTGATCTCTATTCAACATTTATGTATTGCAATAACACACTTATAAAAATATCATTCATATATAAGTTACCTTAATTATATTTCCTGATGTTGTTATTGTTATGTTTGAAGTTATAATAGACTATACTTATGATTCCATTTAATAATAATAATAATAAGATTTCTTCTCTGCAATGACTTAAAGACTTGACTGTTGGGTATTTGTTCATATATGTAATGATGTTATGTAGTATTTAAACACTCTAGAGGAAGGAGACTCAGGATCGTGAGATGTATTACACAAACACAAAATATATTAAGAAGGATTTAGTGTGTATTACGAGTATACAATAGGGACCATAATAATACACTAAAACCCTAGAAAATACATAAGTATATCAGTGTATATTTTTTCATACTTTAAAGACTATGTATATAAATACCACTTAGGTATAGTATAAACTCGATTTAAAAACGACTATAAATACTTGGACTATTATGTCTATCATGACCTCCCAATAATAATTCCAGGTCATCTAGAGAGAAAATTCATTGACCTAAAGCAGTGGTTAGGCTAGGCTAGGCTAGGTTAGGTTAGGTTAGATTAGCGTTAAGCTAGTGCAGCGTTATGTTAGGTTAGCATTAGGGTGTTAAGCTATATAAGTTAGGGAGGAAATTCTTCAGGTGATTTTTTTTCCTATGTATAAGCGAGTTATGTAAAGGTGTCACAGAGTTACAGGTATACGTACAGATTAATGTTTGTTCGCTGTAGACTTACGTCGATAGTCAAACGAAGTCGATGAACATTCCCTGCTAATTACGCGAAGTAATATTTTTTACCGGAATGTTATAGGCTAAGAAGCCCCCTCCCTCCCTCCCCCCCCATTGTAGATCATTGGCTCAGACGTAATGTTCGATTACTATTGATATATGGCAAATAAATCCATATATAACTATTAAGGACTAGCAGAAACACTATTCGCTAGGCCACGGTAGGACGCCACCCTCCGGGAGGCTCCACATTGTCTCACTGTTTAGTCCCCAAAACTTCTTCTTCCATCAATAGTTCATTAACGGTGTATGTAAGTTCCACCATGTTTTTTACTACAACGGTACAGCAAAGTATATTTTTTTAGCATTAAACTGTTATTATTATATTGTCTAATCATCACTACATATAACATCATCCATCATCACTACATATAACACCATCCATCATCATTACACATAACACCATCCATCATCACTACATATAACACCACCCATCATCACTACATATAACAACATCCATCATCACTACATATAACACCATCCATCATCACTACATATAACACCACCCATCATCACTACATATAACAACATCCATCATCACTACATATAACATCATCCATCATCACTACATATAACATCATCCATCATCACTACATATAGCACCATCCATCATCACTACATATAACACCATCCATCATCACTACATATAACACCATCCATCATCACTACATATAAAAACATCCATCATCACTACATATAACACCACCCATCATCACTACACTACATATAACACCATCCATCATCACTACATATAACACCATCCATCATCACTACATATAACACCATCCATCATCACTACATATAACACCATCCATCATCACTACATATAACACCATCATCATCAATACATATAACACCATCCATCATCACTACATATAACACCATCCATCATCACTACATATAACACCATCCATCATCACTACATATAACACCATCCATCATCACTACATATAACACCATCCATCATCACTACATATAACACCATCCATCATCACTACAGATCGGTAAAGTAGTTTCCGAGATTCTCGTGCGGACACACAAACAAACAGACAGACTTCTTGTAGATAGATTCCCAATTTTGGCTCACTTTAATGTCGAATTTAATGTCAGCAAAAATATAACTTCTTGAAAATATTAACTTTCAATACACTCGCAGGTGTTGAAAAAAAATCAAGAATATTTACCGTCGAAATCACAAACAAATTCACGCTTTCGGAGAGCACATTCGCCTCTTCTTCTCTTTTCACTAATTATTACGGATCTCCAGAAAAATAACCCCAAACACAAAAACGGACAGTTCTTAGTCAGGCTCCTCAGTCACGACCTTCTGGTGAGGTCCTCGGAGTGCTCAATCTCCCCCACCACGAAAAGGTGACTGTCCCCGGGGGAGGGGCTCCACCAAAGGTAACAACAGTAGTACCTTGGTTACCATGAAGGAGGTCATGACCGCCTCCATGGCCGGAACCCCCCACACATTATTATCCTGGCGTGTGGGATCCAGACGGGTGAGAACAACCCGAGGCGATGACCCGACGTCCTCCCATGGGCGTGAAGGACGGCGTTTCCATCTGGGCTTTATTATCGGAATTACTTTTCTGCTACCCCCTTCCTCACGTCCCCGTGCACCCAGGCGTGGTCTAATAAGGACCTATTATCTGGGGCCCATAGGCGCAGTAGATACTCGACTGCACCTTCACGTGGTCTGGGGCCCAGGTGGGAAGGTGTTTACTTACACGAGTGAACACCCTCTCATCTGGGTCACATAGGTGCAGGAGGCACTGGACTACACCCTCACGTGGTATGGGGCCCAGGTGGGAAGGTGTTTACTTACACGAGTGAACACCCTCTCATCTGGGTCACATAGGTGCAGGAGGCACTGGACTGCACCCTCACGTGGTATGGGGCCCAGGTGGAAAGGTGTTTACTTACGCGAGTGAACACCTTCTCATCTAGGTCAAAGATCACGCCCAGGAGCAAGAGACTCCACGGCATTGTTTGGTGGGACTGGGTGCCGAGGGCATCTCTCCTGTTTACTATGCTATTCAAGACTCTCACCCGAGTCAAGAACCACACGTAAATGCAGGAGACTTCTCAGGCACCTCAAGGAACTCTCAACTGCACCAACACGTGTGAGGCCCTCTCATCTGGGCCCATAGGTGCAAGAGATACTCGACTGCACCCACACGTGGTCTGTGGCCCGGGTGGGAAGGTGTTTACTTACGCGAGTGAACACCCTCTCATCCGAGTCACATAGGTTCAGGACACACGCACACTCAACTGCACCCTCACGTGGTTGGGGCCCACAGGTGCAGGAGACACTCCACACGGTCTGGGGCCCGGGTGGGAAGGTATTTACTTACGCGAGTGAACACCCTCTCATCTGGGTCACATAGGTGTAGGAGGCACTCGACTGCACCCTCACGTGGTCTGTGGCCCAGGTGGGAAGGTATTTACTTACGCGAGTGAACACCCTCTCATCTGGGTCACATAGGTGAAGGAGACACACTCGACTGCACCCTCACGTGGTCTGTGGCCCAGGCGGGAAGGTGTTTACTTACACGAGTGAACACCCTCTCACCTGGGTCAAGGACCACGGGTTGCAGGCAAGCCTCCGTCGGCACCGTCAACAGCCACTGGTCACCCATCCCAGTGGTCAATCGAGAAGGAGGACGCCGTGGAGATCCAGCCCGAGCTGAACCACGGACCAGGGAGGAGAGAAAGGAAAGAACTCCACCACAATTATGGCAAAGTTGAAAAAGTAATTCTGATAATGTAAATTTATTTATCTTTTATGAAATTCCAAAATTTAAAGTTTGTTAAAATATTGCTTTTGGAGATTGTTATACTGATGGAATCGACGGGTGGTGTGAGGAACACAAAAACACACACACACACACACACACACACACACACACACACACACACACACACACACACACACACACACACACACACACACACACACACACACACACACACACACACACACACACACACACACACACACACACACACACACACACACACACACACACACACACACACACACACACACACACACACACACACACACACACACACACACACACACACACACACACACACACACACACACACACACACACACACACACACACACACACACACACACACACACACACACACACACACACACACACACACACACACACACACACACACACACACACACACACACACACACACACACACACACACACACACACACACACACACACACACACACACACACACACACACACACACACACACACACACACACACACACACACACACACACACACACACACACACACACACACACACACACACACACACACACACACACACACACACACACACACACACACACACACACACACACACACACACACACACACACACACACACACACACACACACACACACACACACACACACACACACACACACACACACACACACACACGACTATCCCTACACGTCCACTTTGCCTTTTCTTTCGCTAATCAGTTAAGTGAAACTCATCGTATCGAGACACTACATTGATCTGTTCTTCTGGCGCCCAAAAGTATAAGTGCCAGGTAAAACTTTTGTATCAGTAAATATTATTAGCAATATTGTGTGTTGCTGAAAGGATGGAAACGAAGCCAGGATATGAAGGAAGAGGAAGCCAGGATATGAAGGAAGAGGAAGCCACGATATGAAGGAAGAGGAAGCCAGGATATGAAGGAAGAGGAAGCCAGGATATGAAGGAAGAGGAAGCCACGATATGAAGGAAGAGGAAGCCAGAATATGAAGGAAGAGGAAGCCAGGATATGAAGGAAGAGGAAGCCAGAATATGAAGGAAGAGGAAGCCAGGATATGAAGGAAGAGGAAGCCAGGATCACAAAGAAATAGTCACGATAACAAGATAACAAAAAACAAAACAGAACCCGGATATAAATCTTACGGACTCACTCAAGATAACAACAAAGAACCCGGATATAATTATAGACTTACTGACAACGGCGAGGAAGAAGGTGGCAGTTGCTGAACGTCCTTGAGCATCGGACGCCGTACAGGTATAGTGACCCACGTCATACTGCGCCTCCACACTCTGTATTACCAGCGCCCCGTCCCCTCGAGGAGTCCTGCGGGAGGTGGGTGTGAGGGGACGCCCGTGTAGAGTCCAGGATACCGCGGTGATAGGGTAACCCGCCACAGGACACACCAACCACGCCTCAGAGCCTTCCACCACACTTACATTGGTTGGTGTCCTCGTGGTGGGTGGACCTGAGAGAGATTGTTAATATTTACACCACACGTAAACACTTCCTTTACCTATTAATTATTCAACTTGATGATGAACACTGAACCTTGCAGCTGTTCTTCACCTCAAGTTACAATGTTTACAATAAAGGAACACAAGTAACATTAGTCTTGGAGTTCATGTAAGTGTTAGACATGTGATTTCTTTTTCTTTTTGCTCTGTTTCACGTATCATTCACTATCCCATTTACTGTTGAGGTGAAATACTTACCTACTGACGCCTTATTATTATTATTACAGTATTATAAAAATTATTATTATTATTATTATTATTATTATTATTATTATTATTATTATTATTATTACATTACTATTATTATTATTATTATTTCAACTCCTACAGTGGTGCACTATATTCACCATACTGACTCACCATAAACATTAAGCCTGGCAGCGTGGTGCACCTTGCCGGCCGTGTTAACTGCTGTACAGGTGTAGAGGCCGCCGTCCAGGTGATCCACATTACTGATGTTTACCTGGCTCACCACCTGCCCACCCATGTCCACCCACGCGCCCACGCCCAAACGCTGCCCTCCGTAATGGCCGCTGGAAGGTGTGAGTGGGCGTCCGTCAAGTGTCCAGGTGATGACGGGCGTGGGGTGACCGAGAGCTGTACACTTGAGTGATATGGGAGGCCCTGGTTGTAGGGTCTGCTCGATGAAGGTGTGTCGTAGTGTGGGCGGTGAATCTGTGGGCGACCGTAGGTTAGGTGGTGTTAGTGTGTGTATGTGTGGGATGCAGGTGGTGTGTGTGTGTGTGTGTGTGTGTGTGTGTGTGTGTGTGTGTGTGTGTGTGTGTGTGGTGGTGTGTGTGTGTGTGTGTGTGTGTGTGTGTGTGTGTGTGTGTGTGTGTGTGGTGGTGGTGTGTGTGTGTGTGTGTGTGTGTGTGTGTGTGTGTGTGTGTGTGTAAAATAGAGAAGGTGGGGAAAGGAAATAAAACAAAACATTAATTAATTTACAGCATCAACATCACACAAACACCTGCGTAAATCATTACTTTATTAAGCCAGTTTCTACCATAATACCAATAGTGTGAGATGCAACCAAGTCATATATTACCGTGTATACTTTATTCACTTCCTCCAGAAACACCACTATCTACCGTACACACCTCAACTACTCCCCAGAAACACCACTATCTACCGTATACACCTCAACCACTCCCAGAAACACCACTATCTACCGTATACACCAACCACTCCCCAGAAACACCACTATCTACCGTATACACCTTAACTACTCCCCCAGAATCACCACTATCTACCGTATACACCTCAACTACTCCCAGAAACACCACTATCTACCGTATACACCTCTTCTACTCCTCCAGAAACACCACTATCTACCGTATACACCTCAACTACTCCCAGAAACACCACTATCTACCGTATACACCTCAACCTACTCCCAGAAACACCACTATCTACCGTATACACCTCAACTACTCCTCCAGAAACACCACTATCTACCGTATACACCTCAACTACTCCCCCAGAAACACCACTATCTACCGTATACACCTCTTCTACTCCTCTAGAAGCACCACTATCTACCGTGTCCTTACCTCTGACACTAAGTTGGGTAGTTGCCTGTGCTTCCCCTAGACTATTGGCTGCTACACACTGATACATGCCAGCGTCCCTCTCCCCAACGCCCGAGACGGCTAGAGTGTCACGCCCTTGCAGCAACATATGAGAGTGGGTGTGAGGATGGAGGGCCACCCCGTCCTTATACCAGCGGACTTCAGCCACCGGAGTTCCCTGCACACGACACCCTATAGTCACGCGGCTACCAGCTGACACCATCTGCCATGTAAACAAAGGAATAACAGTTTTAATGTTTATGATAGAGGAAAATAATGTCAACAAAAGACAGTTTATTATTATCATCATTATTATTATTATTATTATTATTATTATTATTATTATTATTATTATTATTTTATCATTATTATTCTATCATTATTATTATTATTATTATGCCAAGGAAGAGTCAGGTTAAATAACTTACCTCAAAGTTATGTTCATTAGATATAATTAATAATTCCCTATGATGACTGAGCAGCTAAACTTTGCTAATTATTAATATGTTGAAAATGTTATAAAAAAATCAACAGATAAATATTAAGATAAATTAGGAATTCTGTTTTTATGTGTTGTAGAATGTAGTGTGTGAGGGAACCAAGATGGCGGTGAGTGTAGTGTGTGAGGGAACCAAGATGGCGGTGGGTGTAGTGTGTGAGGGAACCAAGATGGCGGTGTAGTGTGTGAGGGAACCAAGATGGCGGTGAGTGTAGTGTGTGAGGGAACCAAGATGGCGGTGGGTGTAGTGTGTGAGGGAACCAAGATGGCGGTGGGGTGTAGTGTGAGGGAACCAAGATGGCGGTGGAGTGTAGTGTGTGAGGGAACCAAGATGGCGGTGAGCGTAGTATGTGAGGGAAACCAAGATGGCGGTGAGTTTAGTGTGTGAGGGAACCAAGATGGCGGTGGGTGTAGTGTGTGAGGGAACCAAGATGGAGGTGGGTGTGTGAGGGAACCAAGATGGAGGTGGGTGTAGTGTGAGGAACCAAGATGGAGGTGGGGTGTAGTGTGAGGGAAACCAAGATGGAGGTGGGTGTAGTGTGTGAGGGAAACCAAGATGGCGGGTGGGTGTAGGCAGGAACCAAGATGGCGTGGGTGTAGTGTGAGGGAACCAAGATGAGTGGGTGTAGTGTGAGACAGATGGAGGTGGGTGTAGTGTGAGGGAACCAAGATGGCGGTGAGTGTAGTGTGTGAGGGAACCAAGATGGAGGTGGGTGTAGTGTGTGAGGGAACCAAGATGGCGGTGAGTGTAGTGTGTGAGGGAACCAAGATGGCGGTGAGTGTAGTGTGTGTGTGAGGAGAACTCTTGATAAAATAAGATACAGAAAAAATCCTAATAAATAACAAGAGACGAAGGAAATTACAATAAAGGATAAAGAAACAGAAAAAATAATAATAAATAAGACAACACAAACATAATATTCGTATCTAACTTCCCTCTGTTATTATCACCAAGAGCGGAAATGAAACAAGCTGGGCAGGTAGAGCTCGTGTTATAAGATCTCTGAGTGTCAACAAGCATCATAATAGCTGAGGAATAATTAGTATCCGTCCAATGATTCTTGATTATTAACATAAACTTATACTTCAGGATGTGTAGTAGAATAAATGCTTTTGGTTCATATTTATAAAAGGGACAATATTTCAGGTGATAAAAAGTTAATTAGTACAGGTGATTTGTTATTGTACAGGTGAGCATTTTAGTACGTGAGGGCATTTATTTTAGTACAGGTGAGCATTTTAGTGCATGTGGGCATTACTTATAGAGCATTACGTAGAGTATAATAGCCTTAAGTACTATATATCAATTAATTCCTGGGAAAAATAAATAAATAACGCCAGTGATTTATTGAGTCTAGTTGGTCCAATAACGTAAATGTTGTGTGGCACTGAGAGGGTGACTCGTTTACTATCCTCACTCGTTTACTCTCCTCACTCGTTTACTCTCCTCGCTCGTTTACTTTCCTCACTCGTTACTTTAATAAAAAAAACATTTAATTTTTTTTCTTATAAAAGGAAAAGTTACAGAATATCGTCTTAATTTTATACGGAACCAAACATTACGATATATTAATTTAATATAAGAAAAAACATTATACATATGTTAATTGTAATAAAGAACAAATTATTATATGTTTTATATAAGAGGAAATATTTTGGTACTTATATTATTTTGTTATTTGTTAACAATTAATTACTCAGGGATTTGTTTTGCAGGTCAAATTTCTGTGTAAAGGTGGATTCTTAACCTACACCTGACTGTAATAACGACCTACACCTGACTATAATGAAGACCTACACCTGACTAAATAAAGGTGGATTCTTAACCTACACCTGACTGTAATAACGACCTACACCTGACTATAATGAAGACCTACACCTGACTACATAAAGGTGGATTCTTAACCTACACCTGACTGTAATATCGACCTACACCTGACTACATAAAGGTGGTTTCTTAACCTACCTGACTACATAACGGTGGATTCCTAACCTACACCTGACTACATAAAGGTAGATTCTTAACCTACACCGGACTACATAAAGGTAGATTCTTAACCTACACCTGACTACATAAAGGTAGATTCTTAACCTACACCTGACTACATAAAGGTGGATTCTTAACCTACACCTAACTACATAAAGGTAGATTCTTAACCTACACCTGACTACAACAATGACCACCACACCGTCCCCCTACAAACACACTTCACACTGTTGACATCAGATTGACGTCACTTCCCCATCAAAACCGTAGACCCTGGTCCCTTATTTTGAAATGGCCGTGTGATGAATTCGTCAATCCCTTTCTTTTCCTCTCCCTTCTCCTCTATCCCTCCCTCCTTCCTTTCCTCCCCTCCTTCCACACTCCTTTCCTTCATCCTTCCTCCCTCCCCTCCATCACTCTTTCCCCAGTACCCTCCTGTCTCCCTCCTCCTCTCTCCTACCCAGCTGGTAATGTAAGGACATTGGCACAGTGACCTTGAGAAAGTCTCAATGGCCGCTGTGTTCACTTGAGACTCTACCTTCACTACAAGGGTTCTGTTAGACACATCCAAAGAATAATAATTTATATCTCATTTACGAGCCTTTGAGGATTGAGGAGCAGAATAGCGTGTTGTGGAAGGATATATTAAGTGAGTTAAGTAATTAAGGAGAGAGAGAGAGAGAGAGAGAGAGAGAGAGAGAGAGAGAGAGAGAGAGAGAGAGAGAGAGAGACGCATCTGCCACTGCTGTAAAAATGAAAATAAAAAAAGTTATTGATATAAAAGAAAAAAAATAGGGATCGTCACTAATTCAGGGAGCTATAAGGGAGGTAAAAATAAAGTTAGCAGTATAAATGAAACAATGAATCTGTGAGGTAAAGTCGTGGACACAAAGACACGACGAAAAAAATATTACGTTTGTGTAATAGAATCAAAGTCGCCAAATGTTACACACACTGGCTCACTAACAATTGAGTTGGAAAAGAAAAAAATACAATTTGTGTTTTATCTCGGGTATATCCAGGATTACGGTCATATTTTTATATTAGATTACAGCTCGGGGGATGTGCGGTGGTCGAGTGGATAGTTCGTTCGCCTCCCGTCCTAAGGGTTGCTGGTTAGCGCCCTCGGTACCCTAATCCCCGAGCTGTGAATCGGTAACTAACTTTAAAGCCGAGGAAGTGAAGGCGGTCGAGTACACTGTCGGCTACACTGCCTCTGTGTACCGTAAAAAAAACACCTTAGTTCACAGGTAGTCGTGGCTGTAGTGTAGGTGTCACTTTCACACCTAAAATCTATTCTACCAAAAGATGTGTACCATGGTCCACACCGCCTCTTCACTTAACTCGACTCGTCACTGTTATCATGAGATATTTGTTGTATTTAAATCGTAGTTAATTTATACTATATTCTTGCACTGACGAAGCACTACCGGTGGGTGGACGAGTATCAGATGCTTTATAAGTATGTAAATGAGGACAGTTGTTGTTATGTTCCATGAATTATGAATTTTAACAAACATTTACACGAAGAATATAACACATGTAAACTAGATCATTAACACAGTATGATAAATGCCAGAGATCTATTTATGTAAAACTTAAGTCTCATGAAAAAGTAATGAATTCTTATCACGTGTTAAAATATGTATATTATTCATTAATCCGGTAATTTCAATATTCTTATCGTTAATGGATGATGCATGAAATTAAGTATTAAAATTAATGCTTATGAAAATTTGCAAATGGGGGGTTTCCTCTCTTGTCTCTTCATTCAGTGACGTCACGTACTACATAGGAAATAGTCTCAATATTTGTGTCTGATAATATTTTTTCTCTTGATGTTGAAGATGTGGTTTAGATTAGGTTAGGTTAAGATATCTCTGTAGACCCTTCTTATTTACTCACTATATTTCTTCCATATTTTTGGGGTTAGCTTTTCTGGCTCGAACTTGTGAGGGGAGTGTGTTCGGTTGCTGTGGCTCGTGTCATGTTATGTATTAGAGAGATCTGGTGTACGTGTGGTGCATCCTGACCGCTCTTAACACTCCCCCACTGCCTGAAGCTCTCGTCATCCAGCACAGCACCACACCCCCTCCCCTCCCACCACACTATCTGTCACCTCCTATGACTTTATTGTTAGCCACCAAAGCCAACTACACCCTAGACTTACTTATACACCCAGAAGAGTTTAACGAGAACATGATTTAGTCTATGTTTTTGTTCTGTATTTCTCAACCAGGATTTTATAGGAATGTTAAAAAATCTAAATTCTCTTCTTATTGAAACCCGAGAGGATGGAGTTATAAAGGCTTCCTTGAGTAGTCGATTCAATACTTAATAATGAAGGCTTCTCATGAGACCGATATTTCTCATGTGTCTCACAAAACCCCCAAATGGGTTGTGATCAAGCCAGGAAAAATATCGCCACAGCCATAAAATTGGTCTTATATATTTTTTTCACCATTAAAAAACGCTCAAGATCCTCAGAAATCCTTAAAAATACAATGGCGATTTTTAATGAAGTTTTGGGCCTTCCAGTCATCAGTCTCCCACTCAATGAGAAGTACAGAAAGGCCCGAACTTCCCACCGATCACCTCCGCTTTCCCTTAAACGCCCTGAGGACAGCCTCCTCCCTCGTCTCCTGCCTTTGAAAGTCAGCAGATCGGCTCCTCCGCCCGACAGGCGGCCCTGGGGCTTCACTGTCGTCTGCTGCCAATATCAGCCGCTCCCACAGCCACTCACCAGATGGGAATCTAGAAGACCCGTGCGTGAGGCCGCGCGAGCCTCTCATCTCTATGAAAATTGCCGCTGCCTTCCCGTTGCCGCGAGGCTCAAGACGCGGTAAATATTGACACGCCGCCTACTCTCACGCCTGAAAAACGTTCTCTACAATGTGGTAATTAAAGCTAATGAAAGAGAAGAAGAACAAAGGGAAAAAAGAACGGTGGAAGATAAAGACGTCGATGGTTGAAGAGGTAAAAGGTGGAGAGTCAACAAAAGAAGGTCAGGGTATGAAGTCTCCATTAGGCGATCCTCCACCACTCCCTTGATGCTCAGATGTTTTATGTTTACTTGAGCTAAGCTCTTTGAGAACGCCTGGATGGCCAGTCCAAACCTCTTTTATTTGGCTGTAAACGCCATCTATGTAGAGGAGAAAATGCTAGCATGACCTCAACATATACTTAATTATTCCTATAGAATATGTCCATCTGAGTCGCTACTGATTTAATGCAATACTGAGCTGCTTGTAACATTAAGAACAAAATACAGCCGGTCTTTTGGTTCACCGGTACGTAGTATATATCATTAGTCTACGAGAATCTATTAATACTACGACCAATACAAAAAAAATAACTGACATACAATCATAAGAAAGGCAATAGTCTGTATCCCCATAATGGATATTGATATTAATAGGCTTTCGATACGATAAAAAAGGTGCCATTTACTGGTATTTCCACAAAGCGAAATGATTTACCAAGTCATACGACACAACAATGGAGACGTACCTGAGACCCTCTTACTGAGACCCTCTTACTGAGACCCTCTTACTGAGACCCTCTTACTGAGACCCTCTTACTGAGACCCTCCCACTGAGACCCTCCCACTCAGACCCTCCCACTGAGACCCTCCTACTGAGACCCTCCCACTGAATCAGCAGCCAATCAAATCGCCTGAAACCGTCACACCACCTCGCTCTTCCCCTCACATTTTATCTGTGGGTGTACTGCCTTACTTCTCACTGTCTCATTTTTTTGCTGGAGATGACCTGACTCACCTGGAGGGGAGGGTGGGTGATGACCTGACTCACCTGGAGGGGAGTGTGGGTGATGACCTGACTCACCTGACCTGACTCACCTGGAGGGGAGGTGGGTGATGACCTGACTCACCTGGACCGTGACCTGACTCATCTGGGAGGAGGTGGGTGATGACCTGACTCACCTGACCTCACCTGGAGGGAGGGTGGGTGATGACCTGACTCACCTGGAGGGGAGGGTGGGTGATGACCTGACTCACCTGGAGAGGAGGGTGAGCGGTGACCTGTAGCTCCTGGATGACTGTGAGCGTAAAATGGGCAGTATCAGTCCCAGCCCCATTAGCTGCCACGCAAGTATAGCCACCAGCATCAGCTGGCCCCGCCCGTGCTCCGCCCGCTACCGCCCCTCGCACCCACACTCGGCCACCACTCACGCCCACGCTACCGCCCACAGTACCCAGCTCACCGCCTATGCCATCACGTGACCAGCTGTTAAGAAAAAAAAACATACAATTAATTTCTAACCATAAAAAAAAATTCACTCCTTATCAGTTCACAAAAGTACAATTAGAGAAGAGATATTTTATTAGGATTTTATTAATACATAACAATAGAGGACTTTTTTATTTTTTACTTCAAAAAAAAAAAAGTAACCATACATAATTATTACAGCGGGGACAATGCAGGTACAGTACAGGTGTTGAGATAAGAATGATAACACTACACAAACAATATACAAGGTTATACTACTACTACTGCCTATCTTAAACACGGAAGAGTATATACACACATATCTTGTTATCGTAGGAGAGACATGAAACTTAATATCCATATTTAGATTTTTTTTTTATAATTCTTACATCTCATATAAAACCCACAAGGTGTATCAAGGTAAATCAAATTGTATTGAGGTGTATTAACGTGTGTAAGGTGTATTAAGGTGTATTAAAATGTATTAAGGTTTATCAAGGTGTATTAAATTTAGTCGAGATCGATACAAATTAAAAAAAAATTATGTCTTGTTGAAAATTATATCAGTATTCCATCACCTAAGCTTTCACAGTTAAGTTTATAGAAAGACTTAATTTCCAGATCGAACCAACGATTCTTAGGAGAGGAAGCGAACGTTGTACCCACTCCGCCGCCGCTCCTATTAACTAGTCTTTAACTATACCATAATCCACACTTTATAATATCTTCGTATTACGTTAGTGTCGGCCCAGATGCATACAGTAGCTCGTAATGTAATGAGAATAGTCTTGTAATAAGTGAAAATTAATTATCTTGTCTTATTGTCATACCTGAAATATATACCTGTATGTTATTATTATTATCGTTAGTGTCATCATCATCATCATTATTATAACTATTATTATTATCATCATTATCAAACTCCACCTATATCCTTCCTCTCCCTCACCACCTACTTCTCTCCCTCACTTCCTCTTCCTCACCCTCCTCTTCCTTCCTCCACACCTCTCCCTCCTCTCACCTCATTCGCTGACACATGATTATTGATGAATTGACACTTACGTCAGATCATCAAATACGTGTCCTGGCGGCTCTTCCCTCCCCTCCCCTCAACTCCCCTCCCTTCCCCCCTCAACTCCCCTCCCAGCATGTCTCACACGGCGTTCCGAGTGTAGTAATTCAGCCTAGCTATGTCAGAGTGGTAATGTGAGTGAGTGTAGTAATACTGTGTACATCCTGGCGTAGGGGGGACATAAGGCCTCCTGCAGGTGGTATCGTCAGGAACCTAAACCTAACCTAACCAACACCTGTAGACATTATCAGTGTTTCATTATTAACTTGTTTGTTCACTCCAGTGTCTGTTCATTGTATATTTTTCAACCATTGTCTACTGTATTTTTCAATGATCAACACACACACACACACACACACACACAGACACACACACACACACACACACACACACACACACACACACACACACCCTCAGGTGTACTCGACTAGGTATTTGAAATATTTCGTCATCCAGAACAATAAATTTTCCGGCATTTTGTTGAAAAGATTGAAAATTAATTAAATAAAAATCTAATTTATTACAGAGAGAATTATCAAACACTGTCTGTCTGTGTGTGTGTTAGAACTTGTTCATAACTCTATAAAAATATAACGGTTGGTACATCATAATAATAATAATAATAATAATAATAATAATAATAATAATAATAATACAAATAATAATAATAATAATAATAAAAATAGCAATAACAATAATAATAAAATGATAATAATAGTAATAGTAATAATAATAATAGTAATAATAATAATAATAGTAATAATAATAATAATAGTAATAATAATAATAACAGGAATAATAATAATACTAATAATAAAATGACAAGTAGCTCATCATTTTTAACTCGCTCACAACAAGATTTCATTAAACTCTGGTGTTATCTTGATCCGCGACTCTTGTTATCTTAGTTCCTAGTGCTCAGAGAAATTACGATATTTACACTAATTTACCCTCACTAGAAAACACCGAAAACACAAAAAAAAATCAAAAACAAAGAAACAAAAAAATAAGAAAACCGAAAACACCCGCCAAAAACAAAATCACCGAAAACACTAAAAACAAACACCGAAAACACCAAGAAAGAAAGACCGAAAACACATGGAAATCACAAAAACAAAGAAAATACCGGAGACAAAGAAACACCGAAAACACAATAAACCCCCAGTTGCTACAGTCTCAGGATCATTTGGACGCCATTTTGATCGTCAACACGAGTGTCATAGGTTAGGTTAGGTGAGGACTGTCTGCTGGACCTTATATAATAGAGTAAGGGTTGTCTGCTAGACCTTATATAAGAGAGTAAGGGTTGTCTGCTGGACCTTATATAAGAGAGTAAGGGCTGTCTGCTGGACCTTATATAAGAGAGTAGACTGTCTGCTGGACCTTATATAAGAGAGTAAAGGCTGTCTGCTGGACCTTATATAAGAGAGTAAAGGCTGTCTGCTGGACCTTATATAAGAGAGTAAAGGCTGTCTGCTGGACCTTATATAAGAGAGTAAAGGCTGTCTGCTGGACCTTATATAAAAAAGTAAGGGCTGTCTGCTGGACCATATATAATAGAGTAAAGGCGGTCTGCTGGACCTTATATAATAAAGGCTGTCTGCTGGACCTTATATAAAAGAGTAAAGGCTGTCTGCTGGACCTTATATAAAAGAGTAAGGGCTGTCTGCTGGACCTTATATAGCCGGCTTACGAGCAGTTACCTCCATGTTATCTACACCGACCGGCTCTTTTTCCTGTGCCTCTTGGATCACCGGATAATATTTTCTCACTATATCTTGAGGAGGACTGAAGGTGACGAGGCTAAGATGCCACTCGCCTCTCTCTCTCTCTCTCTCTCTCTCTCTAGCCTCTTTCTCTCTCTCTTTGTCGCTTTCTCTGTCTGTATGTCTCTTTCTCTCTCTCTCCCTCTCTCTCTATAAGTCTCTTTCTCTCTCTTTGTATGTCTTTCTCTCTGTATGACTCTCTCTCTCTCTCTCTTGTTCGCTACACTTGTACTTCACGTTCTTCTGCCGTCTCAGGGTCACCTAAGTTATAGTATCCAGTACCATAGTGAGATTACCTGAAGATTAAGCACCCTACCTTCTTTCACGTGATGACTAAATAAACTAACGCTAAACTTGACCTGACCTCACCTGGCCTAACCTTCTTTCACGTGATGACTAAATAAACTAACGCTAAACTTGACCTGACCTCACCTGGCCTAACCTTCTTTCACGTGATGACTAAATAAACTAACGCTAAACTTGACCTGACCTCACCTGGCCTAACCTTCTTTCACGTGATGACTAAATAAACTAACGCTAAACTTGACCTGACCTCACCTGGCCTAACCTTCTTTCACGTGATGACTAAATACCCTTATACTAAACTTGACCTGACCTGACCTGCCTTACTAAACCAAACCTAACCTAATGAACCAAACCAAACCAAACCTAACCTTACTAAACTAAACCTAACTTAACTTAAACAAACGAAACGAAACTAAACCAAACCAAACCTAACCTCTCCAAGTAGTTTTGTGTTGTGTTGTGCTGTGCTGTGTTGTGTTGTGTTGCGTGTTGTATTGTGTTGTGGCTGGGTGTGTTGTGTTGTGTCTAATCGTCCGCTGATTCTAATAGTGGCTCGTAATATAAACATGATATTTAATAACTCTTCGTTGATCCAGTTTACCGTATATGGATTAGGTTGATGGATCACTGCCCCTTTTGAGCCAAACAGCTGATCCACCATGGTCTACCCACAAGCACACAAAACAGCTGATCCACCAGTCGTCAGAAGTAAACAAACCCTAATGCGCCTCCTTCATAAGATCTAAATTTGGCCCTCGTGTCACGCGCCACTCAGATTGGTTCTGTTTGCGCCACTAATTGAAAGAAAGGCAAATACCGAAGAGTTTAAGTACCTGATTAGTTCTGGGGGGGGGGGGTTATTCAGAGACAGGAGTGGGGAAGGGGAGAAGTGGACGATCGATAGACGGGTTGACGGCATCTATTTCTACGATGTGTGAGAGGTTGTAATCAATCTATTTCTACACAATCAGATTGAAAGCTGTCCAATTGCACGATACTGATTACGCTGAAAGTAAGTGTGTGTGTGTGTGTGTGTGTGTGTGTGTGTATCTATCTGTCTCTCTCGCCCCTTCTCTGTCTTTCTCTCTCTGTCTTCCCTTCTCGCAGTCTCTCTTTCTGTCTGTCTGTCTGTCAGTTTCTCTTACAATACCCCCACCAAAAAACAACATACAATTCAATACATCGTTTCTAAATTGGTTTACAGAACACGACAGAAAACAAGAACAGGAAAAACACACACACACACACACAGTCAATGAAACACCACCAGTCTATGCCACTCTAACGCGTCCAGTCACCAGTCAACTCTTAGACTCCATGTGAGTAAAGGTTTTCTTAATGTCGACTGTATCACCATTTAACTGGATGTCAATTATCGTATTAGATCCAGTTTAATACCGAAATAACTGCATATCTCGTGTGTCTGTTTCCAGTTTAGTCTAAAGTAACTGGATCACTTATTTACGAGTCGAGAATAATCAAAAGTAACTGTATTCCTGGAAACAGTTTAATAGGAAATAACTGACTCCTATGTAGTTCTTGGTTTAAACAGGTTCATGTGTGTTTAGGTATCCAGTCTAAACTAAAATGACTGGAGGTGTGTGGGCGTGTCTGTCTAATCAGGAGAGAGAGAGAGAGACAGAGAGAGAGAGAGGTACAGATTACTCAACTAGGGTGGTTCAACTGTGCACTACAACAATTAGATTTAATTGGTCCAAGCCAGCCATCCTCTCTCCCCTCAAGCGACTTTCTAATGGCTCTTGAACACACACACACACACACACACACACACACACGTCTACCATAATTCATTCGTCACTATCACCCAATCAGCTTTCACTTTTCCTCCATTAACCAATTAAAACTTCCCTTAT